GCTTTCAAACACAAATGGGTAAATCTGTTCCACAGCAGTAGCCACGGCCTTTACATTGGGCCCTGTAACAAACAGGAAGAAGGGGTGAGAAGACCAGCACCGGCAAAACAGCTTTCCCAGAGCCACGAACATTTGCCTGCTCAGACACCAACCTGACCAGTCACAAAGAAACCACGAAAAATGACATGTACGTATGCACTTAGGTAATCCTAGCAAGCACCAAGAAAATATGACCTCTTTTCCTGGGCAAATTGAACACGAAGTATTAGTCAATCTATTTTAGGGCACTAGGATAGTATATTCCAAAGCACTAGAGTACGCCTAGGGAACAGTACAAATGGAAGCAGCCACTCCCTCTTCCTTTGCTCACTCTTGTCTGGCTTTTAGCAGAGTGAAACGATGCTGCTATGAAAATTTCGGTTATTTTACAACATATAATCTAAAATGCCCCGCGGATCTTTTATTACTAACCTGTCTGGTCATCTTACCCCAAGAGATTATCCAGGTCAGTGACTGGGAAGAGCACAGGTGATAAGGTGACACTACTAATGTATAAATCTGGAACAACTTTTTAAAACATATCATCTGTGTGCCACTGCCGAAAGGGGAAAAAAATGACATTCCACCCCGGTTTACTCTGTGACCTGTCTCTCCTAAAAAAGCAACTTCAGTTTCTGGAGACTGCCCTTGTTTACCAGGCTGCATCACCAACCGCAATGACCCCACGGTGTGCTGGCTCTGTCCACCGCTAACTCCATGTGCGCAGGACAAGCTGGAGAGCAGCCCTTCGCTCCCTAACTTCTATTTCCAGGTGCGCCTGGCACATCTGATTTTTAGTTTGGGAACCTAGGCAACGAAAACTTGCGAGAATTTGAGTGAATAAATACATAGACAATTGAATTTTGGAATCTATGCACGTAAACTTAAGTGCATAACAGAAAGGAGTAAAAATACAATTTTCATTTAAATTGTTAAAAAGAAAGAAGTACTAAAAAAGATTTTCATAAACTCTTTAATAGAAATGGTTTCACTAACACACACATGCTCTGTTTCTTTGTTTCAGTACCGGGAATGGAACACTGGATGGCCTGGGAACCACATCCCCATCCTGTTATTTTTTTTCCCCCATTTATGTATTTGGTACAGGCTCTCCCTATGCAGCTCGGATCTGTAGTGATCCTACTGTTTTCAGCCTCCCCAGTGCTGGGATTACAGGCAAGTGCTATCACACCCAGACTTGGTTGCCAGCTCAGCATGCTCCAAGGGCAGGGCTGGCACAGCACGTGGGACCAGGGATCGAATCCTGGTCCCTGTGCTTGCTAAAGCAGGCACTTAGTCTGCTGAGCTATCTCGCTGGCCCTCATTTTTAATTTTTAAAAATCCTTTATTTATGTATTTGGTACAGGGTCTCACTATGCAGATCAGACTTATAGTGATCCTCCTGTCTCAGCCTCCCCAGTAAGGAGATTACAGGCATGCATCAACAGGTCTGGTTTCCTGGTCAGCACAGTATGCCTGGGGTTCTCCTTTTTATTTTTAAATTTTGAGACAGGGTCTTGCTTGGTTGACCAAGCTGGTCTTTAACTTGAAAGTCCCATTTCTCAGCCTGCAGGTAGACACACCTGCCTCTTTTCAAAATTCTGAGTCCTACACCTCTCCATTGTGTACTTTGAGGACACTGGACCTGTCTTAATTGGTTTGCTTTTCCTAATTCACTTTACCTCTCTCTGGAGGGTAGTACTTTGTTCATGGGAACCACTTAGCAAATGTCCAATGAACTGTTCCCATTTCATAGGTTATTGCAGGTTTAAGTTTATAATAACATAGTAATCAAGCAGGTCGACTGTTTTCAATTTACTACATGTGATTGTCTATTCACTAGATAAAGATTTTTTGCATAAGCACTGTATTATTCTATATTTAACAGAGACTTGTCAGTAGACTGAGGGACCTCTCAGAAGTTCAGGCTCCAAAGTGTAAAAACAGTTGACAGAAAAGAGTAAACTACCTGTTTCCCAGCACCTTGTTTTTAAAAATTATTATTTTTTCTCGCGGAACTGGGGATTGAACTCAGACCCTTGCGCTTGCCAGGGAGGCACTTATCCTACTGAGCCATCTCCCCAGCCCCCTAAAAATTATTTTTGTTAGAATATGTTTGTAGGTCATAATGCTTATAGTCCTTGTGGAGAGCCGGTAATTTACATAACATACCTTGGGTCCTTCTTTCACGCCCTTTGCCTTCCCTCTCTGCCTCCACACATCTCTTGACAATCCCTCTCCCACTGCTTTTTTTTTTTGGGGGGGGTACATGTTTTCTAATATTCAGGTGGGATCCTGGCAATTGGTTTTGGAAGTTCCCAAGGAAGACAGAAAAGAAGTGGGATAGGTGAGAACTACACGCATGTATTAGGACTCTCAAGGTGTGAATTTTTATTCTACTTTAAGAACTGAGGGAACAAAGAGCAAAATTCAAGGCACTAAAGAAATTTTTCTCAACACAATTTTGCCTAAGATTGGACCTGAGCCTTAACCAGTGCTTCTGGAAAATTTCTCCTCATAGTACCTGAAGTCTCAACTACATGCTGATGCCACCCTGTAATGCACATACCTTGTCTTCTGTAACCACTTCCTGCAAATATTTAATGACCCCAAAACTATAACAAAATACATAACAGATGTCAATTATATTTGAATATCTTGCTTATGTAAAAAGTCTTGTGAAGTTAGTAAAATGGGTTTCTCTTGGTTATTTTAAATGTAAGATAAGAAGCCAGCTTGATAGCTCAGCGGACTAAGGCGTTTGCTTAGGCAGAACACAGTTGGTCAAGCAATCTGAGACCGCGAGTGAGACTGGGTGTGGTAGTTAGTGCCTGTAATTCCAGCGCTTAGGAGGCTGAAAACAGGAGAATCACTACGAGTCCAATCTATGTAGTGAAACCCTGTAGATCCTGTCCTAAATACAGAAAATAAATAAATGTAAGATATCACAACTTTTTATAATCATTACTACGCAGGTATATGTAAGAAAAGAAATTAACAGTATTAGACAGTGAATGCAGGGCCTTTGCAATGAACTACATCCCCAATCCCTTTTTGATTTTTACTTTTGAGACAAGGCCTCACCAAAGCCCAGCTGCTCCCGCTAGGAGCACCGTTTCTATCCTAGCCGAGGAGCACAGTACACCTGGGTAGTCTAGAGTATTTTCAATAGCTCCAAACTGAAAATTCCTCAAATGCATATGGAGAGTTCATTCACACTGGAGACTATCTAACCATGAGTGAGTGATATATAACCATGAGGGAGTGGCCTACAGACAAAAATATGGATGACTCTCACAAGATAACCAAAAATGAAAGAAGACAGAGGCAAAATAATACATTATAGACAAGAAACGCAAATAGTACATAAGCAAGTAAAAGTAATCTACAGTGCTAAAGAGGCAGAGCACCTACTCCCCAAGGCACAAGTGACTGAGGAGAACAAGGCAGACATTACTTCTATCTCAGTATGGGGGACATCTTATATCACTAAACCCATAATTGACAAGTTTGGTTTTAGTATCATAGATTACCTGTCACTGTGATACTTCCTGTTGAAAAAATCTGTAATGTAGCTCTTAGGGATTTTATCCGATAGCACACAGCAGGATGAAGTTCAGGTTCATAACTATATTAAAAAGCCACAATGAATATAAATATTTACAGCTTGACTGATAATTTCAAATTTGGTAAGTCATCTTGATGCTTAAAGACCTACCTGGCATGAGGTCTATTGTTCTTCGTGAATTCTGGCAAACGGATTTCAAAGGGCATATTACAAACTGCCAAAACGTTAACAACCTTAAAATCTGTAAATATTACCTTCAGGAAAGAAATAAAACTTAATGAATTATTTCAAAATTTAAAAAAAATCGGTTCATCACAGCAATTCTTATTAAGTTTTAATTCCTTAAATAGGGCGCAAATGAGATGAAACGTTCTCTTATGCATTGATGTAGGAGTGCAAGCGGTACAAAAAGCTAAAATTCAATTTAAAAAGTTCAAGAACTTCATTAAAAATAGTACAACTTGAGGTATTTTCATTATGAAAAAATTAGCTCAACTGGGTTTCTGAATATTATGCACAGTTTAATTTTTAATACTTTAAGTGGGATATATAAAAATTACCAAAAAGAATCAAAACAGGGTTCAATAAAAGTCAAAAAGGTGAAACAGTCTCTAAATAGTCAAATATGGAGCATAACTGAGTTTCAAAAGTCAAAGAATGAAATAAGTTTAGATATTAATTTTACTATATTTTTAACTAATCAGGTTTTTCTTCCCCAATACTTTTGATGTTAAGAAGTTTATGGCTGAAAATAATGTTTTCTTTTTTCTTAAAGCTTTTTTTAAAAAAATTTATTTATTTATTTATTTATTTATTTATTTATTTATGTGTGTGTGGCTAGCTCAGCCCACCAGGGGGCGGGGCTGGCTGGCATGTGGTGCTGGGGGATTGAACCGTGGTCCCTGTGCTTTGCTAAACTTGTTCTAAGTAGGTGCTTTAGAACACTGAGCCATCTCACCAGCCCAATGTTTTCTTAAAAATAGTAACTTTAGCCATTCCAACTAACACTGTGAATTATCTTACCTCAATATCTTTTCCAACATTCCTCTGAACACCAGAATTCTGTATGAGCTAACTGCCTTCCAACCTGCTACTTGCCCAAAGCAGCAGGAAGTCCACGGACCAAGCAGTGACACATCCCCACATCAGAGCTGCACCACAGGGCTCTCTCCACTGCCACTCTCTTCCAGTGGCAAGACTAGTAAGGCCAGTCCTTCTACTTCCAAGACTGCAGTCATTTAAGACAAACTTAACTTCCCCTCATTCTTCCCATTTTATACAAATTCCAAAGGGTCTGTCCTGTCCTCTTTCACTTCAATTTATAAGTGACCTAGTAAGTCCATTGTAACAATGTATTCAAAGCTTCGCTCAACAAAATACTTGAAAAGACCAACTTGTCAGTGATAATAACTTTACACAGGTAAGAACTGGCCACTCAGCAGGCCCAAATCTTGTCTTTCAAGGATCAAACTTTCTCTTTCACTTCACATTTGCAACCGACCTAGCAAATCTATCATCACATTTCACTCAGTTGTGCTGAATACTGTATTTGGAAAGGCTGACTTGCCCGCGACATTCACATCACACTTGCGAGGGCTTGTGCTCACCACATTCAGCATTTTTGAAATAATAAAAAACTTCTTTGGGGGCAGAGTCTAAGAAGTTGAAAAGGCATTTAATGTGAAAAGAAACAAGCTTATTTAAGGGAAAGAAATCTCGGGAAAACCCAAGAACTTTTTTATAAATACCCTTATGGCCAAGTTTTGTTATTGAATTATTGTCATATTAAAAAGTCAAAAAGCCAGGGGGCCTGCCCCTTAGCTCAGTTCTTTAAGTGGCTGCTTCAACAATGCAGTCAGATTCAGGTTGCTGTGGTTCGATCCCCACAACTCAAGCCAGTCAAACCTGCCCTGAAGGCATGTGGAGAAAGAAAATATCCTTATTCCATTTTTCAGAGAGAGCACATTGGCCAAGCAATGACCGTGACTCACCCACATGGCTGACACTGACAAAGGTTTTACAGTCTGAGGTACAGGATCTCAGGATAAATCCTGAGGGGATTTCACTGACCTTATCAGACCCAAAAGCTACAACTCTTGTTGCATAGGTCCTGCCTTATGTTGGTCTTAACCATCCAGCAGAAAAGCATAAAACAAAATATAAGAAGTAAACTCATGTTGTTATGTTGAGCTCTGGGGGACTCAGGTGAACAATTTCTGACATTGCCAGTCAAGCAGAAGACCCAATACTATTATGGGCTACTGGACTCTTTTAGAGTATTTTGCTGAGTTTACACATCTATAATGTTCAAATAACGGAACTTAACAAAGGGGATACAGATGAATGTCCATTTTGTATCTGTGTATTCGCAGTGGTTAGGATAGATATATAGTTACATTCTCTTGATGAATAGAGTGATTTGTTCTATGGTGTTTGCAAATAGGATATCATGTCCACATCTTGTACAGCAATTAACCACTAGGAAGAATGTATGCAATGTGTTAATTATTGAAACTGTTCTACCGATTTGATTTGAAACTGTCTCATTGCTATTTCTCAATAAAATTATGAAAGAAAAGTCAAAAAGCCAGAAAAAGTTTAATTATAAGAACGCTTATCGTGCTTTCTTTAGTCTATTGAATTAAAAGTTTTAATTTCACAAAAATAAATCCTTGAATATTTGTAGTTCAGATAGTGAAAATGTTACCTGAAAACCTAGTTTCTGCAGACTACGGGCTAAACGTCGGGCACCAAATTTAGCTTCTTCTTCACTATATTGCAAAGAAAGAGAAAGATGATCAGTTACACGGAAGTAAATTTTATATTGCGAAACAGCAAATGTTACAGTATGTTTCTCCTATGGGGAGAAAAGGAAAAAATGAAATTGAAAAACTAGGTAACTTTACCTTGTTGCTCCAGTGCAAATAATTTTTCCTGAGGACCAAATCGTAGCTGTAATTCTAGGTTTTCTAAGCTTCATTAATACTTTCTGGAGAAAAAAAAAAAAATCTGATTACTTAATAAGTATTAATTTTCACATTTGGTTCTGCTCTATGTGTCCAAGTTAATGTCTAAATACTACTCTGAGCCTATCCATGGTTTAAAGAAGTGTTCTCCAAATTATTTATTCTGAAATCAACACAAACAATAAAAATTAACCCCAAGGACTTTTAATTAAAAAGTAAAGCCTATAAAATCCTTGAACACTGTATTTGGGATCAATAACTACAAGTACATGAACATTCACCCCCCACTAAGCATTCCACTCCAGTCATACCACGGGAACCTGTAGCGGTCCTCACACATGCCCCAGATGTCCAAGGGTCAGCAGCTTGGTGGGGGCTGCTCCTCCCATTTGACAAAGACTCCACTCCACGTTCCCATTTTCTTAGGTCTCTTATCAGACGTCATCTCCACAGGAAGAACCTCTTTCTTACTATCCCATTGAAATCCTTTCCCTTTTCACAGTTTAATTTCTAGCTCTGCTTTACTCTGCTTCTGGGTGCCCCCAGTTCAGGAGAAATGCTGGAGGTGGAGATGTAATTTCAAATTCCTTGGAGATGAAAATCATTTTAAACTATGGGGTGGACTAAAAGTACCTATAGAATGAGTATAAATAGGTCAAAGACTAAGGTCTAAAATAATGTAGGAGCTTAAATTTTCACTGTAATTTTTCATTTATGGAAATATTTATTAATATATAGGAGATAAATGCTCAGCAGATAAAATAACATGCAAATGAATTCAACATTTCTCTTTAAAACTTGTTACATTTCTAGTTCTTTTTTTTTTCACTGTCATACACCATACTATCAAAGGAAAACATGCTTAGAACTGGGGAGACTTAGTATTTGCAAAAGATCAAGATGACATTTCAACTACAATATATAAAACTTGATACACGTGAGTAACACTGGATCAAACATGTACAGTATTTAACTGCCTCTCACCACAGGCTTGCCCATCAACTCAGGAGCTTCCAGTCTTCCTAAAAAGCCCACATCCCTTCCACATCATGCTTTCCTCTCTAAAGCAGTACTTCAAAACTTTTTAGTGAACATGTTTATTCCTTTTTTCTTTTCAAAGAGAAAATGGTATTACTGATGAATTTGAAAATCTTTAATTGTGGATCAATGAAAATTTTAATTCAATTTAATTCATAGTAACTTGTTTTTAATACTAAGAACTTACCATACTTTACCTAAGCACACATAGGAACTGCACTTGTAGGGCTTAAGACAACCTCCAAATACACTGCTACCTTTTGTGATATATGTATAAAACATGTATTTATCACATCAAACTTTGGTTTATAAAAAAATAATACTGTCAATTGTAATGTTAATCTCAAAACAGTAACTTTCATTTTAAATACTACAGATTTAAAACAACTAAAATTTTAAATACTCAGATTGAGATATGAACTACATTTATGTTAGCAAATTGCTAAACAAAAACCACCTATCTTGGCTAACAAGGAGCATGACAAGTAACAAAAATCATAACATATTAGGGAACCAGTCAAGTATAATCATATTTGAATAAACACATATACAAGTGTATACAGCTCTGTCTCCTCACTTCAAAAGAATTTAGGGAACAGTAACATGAACTCCTGAGAATGAGTCAGTTCCTTCAGGACTCAGAGAAGTTCTCTCCTCCAGTATCTGCCTCCTCCATGAGAGGAAGGACCACGTATACAGGGCTCACTTTGGTAGCCGGTACAATCAACTCAGGCTACGGGCTCACTAACCATCTGTAGGATGAATATATTTTAGCACCACTCACAGCAGTATGAAATTAATACTATGTAGTACACAGAGCAAATTCAGATACTTACTCCAACATCACGCTTATAAATAACATTCGCTCCCTCCAAAGCAATCTTCCTTAAGTTCAAATGACATCTTGTTCTAAAAACACAGACTACGTTTGTAATTAAAATGTCCAATGCAACATCACTGTCTGCATCCATTGGGGTAGTTTAAAAACTTAGCTTCCCACCACGAAGTTCACATCCTGAGGAATAAAACAGACAAAAACACAATCGTTAAACTTGAATGTTCTGTTGATTTACTTTTCACAAATAATCTGGATATAAATAAATCTGTTTTTCAAATGCTTCAAAATCCAATCATGTCCTTTTTCCTCACCACTGAAAATCTCATTAGAGAAAGTAATATGCCATAAGATATCCCTCAAAAATCTGGATCTTTCAGTCCTTAACTGAGTGATCTTCTTTTTCTGTACCAGGAACTGAACTCAGGACCTCATGCCTGCCAGGCAGGCACTGCATCACTGAGCTCTCTCCCTGGCCCAAGTAATAATCTTTACATGGCAGGGATTTGCCAGGCTTATCTCCTGCCACTCATCTTTACCACCCTTATGTTCCAGGTGTGTGTATGTCCCTGAACACAGTACATTGAAGGGATGGATTCTGTGGAGCCCATGTTCAGCCAGCAGCTTATATACTAATATTTCACAGACATGGGGGCTATCAAAGGCCAATCTGGGGGCTGGGAAGATGGCTCAGTAGAATGAGTGCTTGCCCAGCAAGTGCAGGGACCTGAGTTCAAAACTCCAGTTCTGAAAAAAAAAAAAAAAAAAAAAAAAGGCCAATCTGTTTTTAGGTAGAGTAACTGATTTATTCACGATTTAGCACAAAACATTAATCATACCACTTAAAATATTTTTCTCATTTCCTCGTCACTTACTCATTACTGTTACTTCCAAAATGCAGAGGATGCTGGAGGAAAAAGAAGAACAAGGCAAAGTCTACTGCCCTCAGGGAGAACACAATCTTGAGTGTACAGGGGAGATACCTGACGAATACAATTTTTATCAAGATCAGAATCTTCGAAAATATTTTTTTCAAGACTCCTCTAACAACATTTATATAAACAACCAAGTCCTTCCCCTTTAACGTTTTTGAGGCACTAGAGGCTGAACCTTAGGTCTTCACACTGAGCCATATCCTGAGCCCTTTTAAAAATGTTTTGAGAAAAGGTCTCACTAAATTACTAAGTTGTTCTGAGTTAGACTTGAACCCAAGATCCTTCTGCCTTAGTCACCCATAGCACTGGGACTATAGGTATGTGACCCACAGCCAGTCAAACCATAGGTTATATTAAGTATGCAACCCACACTGATCTAATTTTTTTTTTATTTAAAAAATAAGCTACAAGGGCTAGCCAGATAGCTCAGTTAAGGCAGTCATAGGGACGGGGTTTGATCCCCGTGTGACGTGCCAGCCCTGTCCCCAGGGTATGCAGAGACAGCCACTGAGACTAGGCGCGGTGGCGTACACCTGTGCTCCTAGCACTTGGGAGGCTGCAAAACAGGAAGATTATTACGAGTCTGATCTGTGTAGTGCAGTGAGACCCTATAGACCCTGTAATAAATACATTTTAAAAAAAAGCTACAATAATATGGTTTACCAAACTCTTCCTCCCCAACACATACGTAAATCAAAAAAATAGTAAGACACTGTCGAAATGAAGATATAATTGTTGTTAAAAGTCCTTGCAGCCACAATATAAAAATACTGACACTCTACTTAAGCATTTAAATTACAGGACAAAAACAATGCCAAGAGTATAAATTTTAAGAATTCTCTCATTTTTCTGCCTTATAGTTTCTCATAAAGTGACAAATCAGACTAAGACTTCACACCTCTAAGTCCATATAATACTTAATTCTGTGCATCAGTTGGTCCCCAATTTCATATTTTTTACTTTGACATTCTTATCTTTCATCTCCATGTCTTTTTTTTTTTTTTTTTTTTTTTTGTGGAACCAGTGATTGAACTCCACTGCTTATCCTACTGAGCTATCTCACTATCTCCCCGGCCCCCTCACTATGTCATTTTGTTTCTTGTGTACATGTGAGCTGCCTTAAGTCATTTTACATACAAGAGTGGGGCACAGGTGGCACTGGGAACCGTGCCTCAGATCTCAGCTGTACCACAAAATGTACAGTGCCCATCAGAGCAGTGCTGTGAGCAGTACATAAGTACCGTCTGACAGGCCTGGTGTAGCTCGGTGGAAGACTCAGTGCTGAAGCGCAAGGCTTCGAGTTCCACCCTAGCATCTTGAAAGCAGTAAGAGTGATGTATGAGGACGTGGCACACGTAGCTGGGAAATAACACCAAAAAGTGACAGTGGTTATTCATGAACTAAGAGGCAGAACAGTGATTTCTGAACATCGCTTCCCATGACTATCACAACATTAAGCCACCTGCGACATATTCTGCTAGTTGCCCATGAAAAAAAACTGTGTACCTCAAAATCTGGTCTCATCTTCATAATGACCAGAACACAGGTGCTTGGCTCGGTGAAATGGGACAAAAATAAGGCAGTGTTTAGGTCTCTGGCAAAGGGTTAGCCAAGTGGCCACATGACTATGTTCTCTGCAAAATGTAACCTGAAATGATTACTGCTTTCTGGATACCTGTATAGAGCAATGAACTGGGCCAGCAGGGAATTCTTTGCCTTTCTGTCCTTTGTTCTGGCTGCTGGGAGTTACATGAGACACAGGTGCTAGAGTTTAGGTTACCATTTTGACCATGAGACAATGAGATGAAAGCAGAACAACTAGCTAGAAGCATGGCTCTCAATGGTGTGGGTCTCCTTACTGTCCCTGCACTTTGTAATTCCAGAACTCATGTATGTTAAAAAAAAAAAAAAAATTCAACTATGCTGATGGTGAGTTCTTATATGCAGCCAATCTATTTCCTGCTAGTGCATCTCTCTTGAGGATAAACTACAAAAGCCAAAGCCCGAAGGAGACCCTTTGTATGAAGAAAATGGACCATATTTACTCATAACATTTTTGGTATATGAAGTAGGTTACAACAAATTGACTCAGATTTACCACTCTGAGGTTTTCTTTTTATTTTTTAATTTTTTTCCTATAATTTTATTGATAAACAAATAGCAATGAGACAGATTCAAATCAAATTGGTAGGACAGCTTCAATAATTAACACATTGCATACATTCTTCCTAGTGGTTAACTGCTGTACAATATGCAGACATGATATCCTATTTACAAACACCATTAGAACAAATCATTCTATTCATTAAGAGAATGTAACTATATATCTATCCTAACCACTGTGAATACACAGATACAAAATGGACATTTATCTGTATCCCCTTTTTTTGTTAAGTTCCGTTATTTGAATATTATAGGTGTGTAAACTCAGAAAAATATTCCAAAAGAGTGCAGCAGCCCATAATAGTATTGGGTCTTCCGCTTGACTGGCAATGTCAGAAATTGTTGACCTGACTCCCTACAGCTCAACATAACAGCATGGCTTTACTTCTTATATTTTGCTTTTATACTTTTTTGCTGGATGGTTAAGACCAAGATAAAGCAAGACCTATGCAACAAGAGTTGTGGCTTTTGGGTCTGATAAGGTCAGTGAAATCCCGTCAGGATTTATCCTGAGATCCTGTACCTCAGATTGTAGAACCTTTGTCAGTGTCAGCCATGTGGATGAGTCACGGCCATTGCTTGGTCAATGTGCTCTCTGTGAAAGCCTGAGAGAGTGTTTTCTCTCCATGTGACTCTTCCTTAGGCACACTCTACATCATTGATCACTTTCCTCTTTGGCCCCATAATCTCCTTGATCAGAAAATTTGGGACACTGAGTTACATGACGTTATCGTACAAGTTCTCATATGTCCTGAGTCTTAACTGACCTTATAAGGCTATTTTATTTATTTATTTATTTATTTATTTATTTATTTATTGGTGGAACTAGGGATTGAACTCAGGCCCTTGTGCTTGCCAGGGAAGCACTTATTCCACTGAGCCATCTCTCCGGCCCTGCCACTCTGAGTTTTAAGTCACTGAATTGCCTGAAGGATAACACAAGTACAGGGTAGAAACAAGACAAGAAAGAAGGGTCAACGAAATCTGGGGAGCACAAAGAAGCCTCAAAGTTAATTCAAAATTGCTAACTATTCCTACATTTTGGCAACTTCAATTCTAAAAATGAGGTCATGGGAATAGTTCATTCTAATTTATGACCTGATCCTATTCTAGATAAATAACATGGCAAACAAGCTTCAACCAAAAACTTTCAAAGATATATTGTAAAAAAGAGGCTCCCTACCCCAAAACCCTCACTTTTGTCTAGGAGAATGAAAAAAGACCCTTTTGTAATCTTGAAATAGAGAACAGTACTACATATTAACAAAGATTCACTCCTTAAAGGTATATACACTGTTCCTCCGTGAAAGACATCAATTTCAATTTCCACAAAGCACCTGAAGGCCTGTTACTACTCTTTTCTAGTTTTAAGTGTAAATCATGTATTAGTGGATTAAAAGATCTACATGACAATTAGTAATTAGAAATGCTTACATTATTCCTGAAAATATGCACATATAACTTATTTAAATTAAAATAACAAGCCAGGTACCATGTTGCATTCTATGGAATTGCAAACTACAGGAAGCTGAGGCAGGAGGAGTTTGAGTTCTAGCAAAGTTGAGGAAACTTAATGATTAAAAAAACCTGTCTCAAAACAAAAAGAACACTGGGCTGTACTCAAATGTTAAATTTCTGGCTGGGTTCATTCTTATTCCAAAAAGCAACAAACAAACAAAAGCCCCAAACAAATAAGCAAACAACAACAAACAGATATGTGAAAGAGGTAGATACTAACCTCTCTTACAGCACCTAGAGTTAAACATCTGTTTATTTCCTTTACTAAGTACCTGGCTTTCCAAGGTCAAAGACCATGTGCTAAGGTGCTATAACTCAGTTCCTCACTCAGGGTCACAGACATTCATTCTGCACTTTTCTAATAAAAATATGAACTTGAGCACGAGGGTAGCCTGTTGCACCTCTCAGCAGCTGCAGTGGGGGAATACAGGGAACAATCTTTGTGGGTTGGTAAAATGAATGACAAGAGTGTGCATGTGTGTCAAAGTATAAATGGTGAGTTTTACACACATTATATGCCATGTTACATTGTGTATACATAACTTTTTTTTAAATTTTTGTTTA